TGGCGGGGACGCGTCCCCCACCCTGCCCCATCCCCGCAGGCGCCCGGCCCTGTAGCCCCAAATACTTCGGTCGTGACGCCATGGTGTGCGTCTGCAACGCCACGTACTGCGACACGTTGGACCCCGTGGTCCTGCCGGCCCTGGGCACCTACGTCAAGTACGAGAGCAGTAAGGCCGGTAAGCGGCTGGAACGCAGCGAGGGGAGCTTCCAGCGCAGCCTGCACGCCCCAGGTACCCGCTGTGGCCGATAGAGACGGGTCGGACCCTGCGCGCGACCTGCCGTCACACTGGGTTCCCTCCCTGCAGATCTCGTCCTGACCGTGGACACGACGAAGCGGTACCAGAAGGTGAAGGGCTTCGGTGGTTCCGTCACCGATGCGGCTGCCATCAACATCCTTTCCCTGCCGGAAACAGCCCAGGATCACCTGCTCCGCTCCTACTTCTCTGAGGAAGGTGAGAACATCATGGGAGGTGGGAGGGACGGTGACGGGGACCCGGGGCGCCAGCAGGGCTTGGAGACCTCCTGTCCCACTGCCCACCTCTCCCCGTCCCACCTCGCTGTGCCTGGCAGGGCTGGAGTACAACCTCGTCCGGCTCCCCATGGCCAGCTGCGATTTCTCCCTCCATGCCTACACCTACGACGACGTTCCCTTCGACTACGAGCTCGCCCACTTCAGCCTGCGCGATGAGGACACGAAGCTGAAGGTGAGCAGTGGGAGGGAGCGGGTCGAGCGCGGAGGGAGTCCAGGGGCTCAGCTCGGGTGGTCCTTCTGCCCTCTCCTGCAGATCCCCCTCCTCCATCGAGCCTTGGCCATGAGTAAGCAGCCGGTATCGCTGTACGCCAGTCCCTGGACCTCCCCGACCTGGATGAAGACCAGCGAGTCCTACGTGGGGAAGGGCACGCTGAAGGGGGAGGCAGGGGACAAGTACCACAAGACCTGGGCCAACTACTTCGTGCGGTACGGGGCGCCCGGGGCGAGGGGATGGGGGAGATACCCAGCTGGTGCTGGGGGGGGTCCCATGGCTCACCCCTCTCCCCCGCGCTCAGGTTCCTGGACGAATACGCCAAGCACAACCTGACCTTCTGGGCGGTGACGGCGGAGAATGAGCCCTCGGCCGGGCTGATCAACAACTACCCCTTCCAGTGCCTGGGCTTCACGGCCGAGCAGCAGCGGGATTTCATCGCGCGGGACCTGGGCCCCGCGCTGGCCAACAGCTCCCACCGCCACATCCAGCTCATCATCTTGGATGACAACCGGCTCCACCTCCCGCACTGGGCCAAAGTGGTGAGTGTGGCGTGGGGTCGGCCGGCACGGTGAGCCGGGGCAGAGCCCC